TGGAGCTGGGCCCGAGGCCAGCCGTGGAGCGGGCGCCTCCGGTCACAGAGGAGGAGTGGGCCCGCCACGTGGGCCCCGAGGGCCGCCTGCAGCAGGTCCCCACGCTCAAGGCCCGGATCTTCTCGGGGGTAAGGCACCGGGGGGGTGGGCGGGGGGCTGGGGAGGGTCAGGGGGAGGCCCCTCTGAGCGGCCGGCGCGCTCTCCCCCCCAGGGTCTGAGCCCTGGCCTGAGGCGCGAAGCTTGGAAGTTCCTGCTGGGGCACCTCAGCTGGGAGGGCTCTGCCGAGGAGCACAAGACCCACGTGCGCAAGAAAACGTGAGTGAGGGGCGCCTGGGGGGCTCAGTCAGTCCGGTGTCCGACTCTTGGTCGGTGTCCGCCCCGGTCCTCTCTGTCCAGTGGGAATGACAGACTTTGAACAGAAGCCCACGAGACAGGGGTGCGGTGCCTGGCTGGCTCAGTCAGTAGAGCGTGCGACTCGACCTTGAGGTTGTGGGTTCGAGCCCCGCATGCGGCTCAGAGTTCACAAAGCCGTTGTGTGTCGTGAGAGGTGTCAGAAAGGGGAAGCGTGTGGACGGTGGCAGGGATGACTGGGTGGCCTGTTTCATGGCCCGTGTTCCCGTCTCCCTGCCCCTCAGGGACGAGTATTTCCGCATGAAGCTGCAGTGGAAGTCTGTGAGCCCCGAGCAGGAGCGGAGGAACTCCCTACTGCACGGCTACCGCAGCCTCATCGGTGGGTCGCGGGGCCGGGGCTGGGGTGGAGGATGGGGAGAGGCCGGGGGAGGCCCCCTGCCTTCCGGGGAAAAGGGATGCGATTATCTGCAGTGGGGAGATGGGGAGATGGGGGGGAGCCAGACTCCTTGGGTTCAGCCTCCGTCTGCTCACTGTGAGATCTCGGCAAGTGATTTATCTGCTCGGGGCCTCAATGCCCCATGTGTGGATGGTCTAGTAACCGCTGGTGGCGGGGAGGATGCAGGGACCCGGCCAGCACGACCGAGGGCGCCTCGCGGAGCATCCGGGACGGTTCCTGGACCGGCTCCCACCTGCCTGGGTGTGCGGAAGGGCCAGCAGGGACGGGCCCCCACAGCCTCGGCACATCTGCATCCTGCGCCCTGTCTTCGCAGAGAGAGACGTGAGCCGTACCGACCGGAACAACAAGTTCTACGAGGGCCCTGAGAACCCGGGGCTGGGCCTTCTGCACGACATCCTCCTCACCTACTGCATGTACCACTTCGACCTCGGTGCGGTACTGGCCGGGGAGGGGGCGGGGCTCCGACCTTCCCTTGGGTGGGGGGGAGGGGGTCCTGAGGGCCTCGGCCTGGCCCTGACCTCGTGTTCCCCCAGGCTACGTCCAGGGCATGAGTGACCTTCTCTCCCCGATCCTCTACGTCATTCAGAACGAGGTGGATGCCTTCTGGTGTTTCTGTGGCTTCATGGAGCTCGTGGTGAGGCCCAGGGCGGGCGTGGGGGGCGGGCCCCCTCCGGGGACCAGGGTCTGGCCCCTCACCTGGCCCTCCCTCCTGCAGCACGGGAACTTTGAGGAGAGTCAGGAGACGATGAAGCGGCAGCTCGGGCAGCTCCTGCTTCTCCTGAGGGTGCTGGACCCGCCGCTCTGCGATTTCCTGGGTAGGCGACTCAGCCGGGCGGGCAAGGGGTGGCGGGGCCACAGACGGCTTCGGGGACATTTGGTCCTGGCCCAAACAAGAGAAAAGTCCCCGCATAACCCAGAACCCCAAATTTACATGTAAACAGAGGATCGCCCTTGGGAGCAACTGCCCCCACTGGCGCAGCTGTGCGCCCCGCCTCCTCCTAGCACTTCTTCCCCCCCCCCTCCCCCACCCCGCCAACCAGGGACTGCAGACTGGGTCCCTGGGCTCCCGGGCTGGGCCTGCTAAGTTCTGGCCTTAAAGCTGTTCTTCATTGCTTGTTTGATGTAAAAATGGCAGGGACTACTGACAAAGTCGAAGCTGCTGGGGCGCCTGGGTGGCTTAGTCGGTTAAGCGTCCGACTTTCGCTTAGGTCATGATCTCGTGGTTCGTGGGTTCGAGCCCCGCGTCTGGCTCTGTGCTGACTGCCAGCTCAGAGCCTGGAGCCTGTTTCAGAGTCTGTGTCTCCCTCTCTCTCTGACCCTCCCCTGCTCACGCTGTCTCTCTCTTTCTCTCCTAGAAATAAATTTAAAAAATATAAAAAAAAACAAAAACAAAGTCGAAGCTGCTGCGAATAACGTGGTTCTTTTTGAACGCAGCTGACAATGAGTTAAGCTCTTTATGGGCGTTTCCCCGATGAATTTAGGGTGGCCTTGGGGGAGGGAGATAGTGCTGGGATCGCTTCACCGAAGAGGAAGCAGTCTGGGAAAGTAGAGGCCACCTCTGGGCGCGCTGGGACATGAGCTGGCCCACCGGGTGCTGGGTCTGCCTTAAGTGCGTAGAGAGTAGATCTCACCTGACCCGCTGGCTGAATCCCAAGAGGTGAAATTGCATTCAGGGCAGGAGATAGTTTTACAGCTTTTGAAATGTTTGTTCCTGTCCCTGCTTTCCTGGAAATTTTTACCAGCTGTTTATTTTGTCAGCCGAGTACACGAGTGTCACATGAGTGTCCATTTCCTCATGCCTCCACCAGCATTGGGTATTGATACCTTCTACTTTTTTCCTTGAGTGCACCCTGCACCCCTTTTCCGTGAAGGTGGAAAGCGGGACTGGCTCATCTCGTGTGGAGCCTGTCAGGCGGGATGGGAAAGGCAGGGTGTCCTGCGGACGCGGAGCGTTCCTGCCTCACCGCTGAAGCCTTCCCACGCTGGGCATACGCTACCTGCCTATCCTGCCGGCCGGGATAACTTCTCAGAGTCACAATCTGACCACCATACACACTGTAAAAAATTAGAATGGGGTTAGAATGGCTTTGGGGCTTGGTCTTTGCTGAGCACCTCCCCTCCCCGCCCCTGTCTTCCTCCAGACTCCCAGGACTCTGGCTCTCTCTGCTTCTGCTTCCGGTGGCTCCTCATCTGGTTCAAGAGGGAATTCCCCTTCCCGGATGTCCTTCGGCTGTGGGAGGTGGGCCACCCAGGTTGGGTAGGCGGGTGGACAGGAAAGAGAAATAGGTCAGCATCCTGGGCTGGGAGTTTAGGGGTGTGGGGGGCAGGGGGCGGGGCAGACCTGGGTGGGACCTCAGGCAGAGGCTGGGTGGTGACTCCTCCCTCTGGCCCTCCTAGGTGCTGTGGACAGGGCTCCCTGGCCCCAATCTGCACCTGTTGGTGGCCTGTGCCATTCTGGACATGGAGCGGGACACCCTCATGCTTTCTGGCTTCGGCTCCAATGAGATCCTCAAGGTGAGGCCTTGGCTCCTCCCTCTCCCTTCCGGTCCTGAGCCGCATAAGCGTTTCACCGCAGCTGAGGTGTGAACTCCCTGGAGCCTGGCACTCTGCGTGTGCCACATGATACCGTGGGATAGTAGATACTCAAATCAGGATTGTGGGAAGTGCGGTTGGCTAAGCTGTGAGCACCATGGCCATGACACCAGGCTGTTTTTCCTACCCCATCCTATCCCTGGCTGCCAACAGCACCGTCACGGGGTGTGGCCAGCACATGAGGGGTCACCTGCCCCTTCCCTATCACATGAAGGCAAGACGGGGCCATAGGGGTAGAGCTCAGTGCCCCCTCCCTTCACTGTATCCTGCGGCTGGCAAGCAGCCAGAGGGCATGACCTCTCCTCTCCCCAGCCACTAGCCCTCCCCAGTCTGCCTTTCCTCCGTCACATCCCCAGCACAGGCAGAGAGTGAGCGGGCACTCGGGCGGCGGTGGGTGAGTGCCGGCAGGCAGGCCTGAGCCACCTCTTCCCGCAGCACATCAACGAGCTGACCATGAAGCTGAGCGTGGAGGACGTGCTGACGCGGGCCGAGGCCCTCTACCGGCAGCTGACCGCCTGCCCGGTGAGCCCCCGGCCTCTCCCAACAGCCTTCCCGCCCCACCATCCCGGGGAAAACGGCTGACTTTTCGCTCCCACCCGCCCACCCTGCAGGAGCTGCCCCACAACGTGCAGGAGGTCTTGGGTCTGGTGCCACCCGCGGAGCCCCGCAGTCCCTCGCCCCCTGCCTCCCCACTGCCTCTGTCACCCACCCGGGCCCCACCGGCCCCACCGCCCCCCGAGGACACAGCCCCGCAGCCGGACAGCAGCCTGGAGATCCTGCCGGAGGAGGAGGAAGAGGAGGAAGAGGAAAGCGCGAAGTCTTAACGCCGCCGGGCGCCCGCCCCTGCACGAGCACTTTATCCAGCTGGCAGAGGCTGGGGAGGAAGTGTGCCAGGAGGGCGGGCCTCCCCACCGGGCCGCCCACGGCCCCTAATGAGCCGACCTGTTAAACTGACACCTCTGTGTCCAGCTGGCCTCCGTAGGTGAATGAGGCGCCGGCTTGGCTAGGACCTGAATGGGGTGGGGGTGGGGGCTTGTGGTCCCTCGTGGTCCCTCGTGGCCCTGCTGCTGAGCCGGCGCCTGATCACGTGGTCCCGACCCAGCCAATGAGACGTCAGAGGAGGCCCCCTGGGGGGGCTCTTGGAGGTAGGGCTCCGTTACTGCCTGGATTTCGGGGTTTTGGAGGAATGAGGGGGAAGTGCTGGGTCATGGCCGCCACCAGAGCTTTGCAGGGACACGTCCCGGACATAACCCAGATGGAAGGGCCTGCGGAGCTGCTCACTCTAGGGACTCTGCCCACCAGCTTCTTGTTACGTGAAAACAATAAACTCGTGTTTAACCCACTGCGTGCCGCACTATTACTGGCATCAGGGCTCCTGTCTGGTGACAGCCGGAGTGGGCACTGTGACTGCCGTTTAGCGGTGGCGCAAAGCAGTGTCCGTCCGGCCCCCGTCTCGCCCTCCCCGGGTGAGGCCCCACCACCCAGGAAGGAGTAGGACAGCTGCGGGGGCTCCAGATCGGGGCGCGGCTCCTTCAACCGCGAAGGCTAAGGGCTTTGCTCCGGGCCCGCTGGGGAAGCGACTGAACCACACGGCTTTTTCTGAAAATACATTTTTAATGCTCGGGTCTCTTGGTGGTGTGCCGAGCGGTCATCCTAAGTGGGGCCGGAGTGTGGGTGGCACTGTCCTTTTGGAACTCGCACTGGGGACGGCTGGGCTGCAGGCGCGGGAGCCCCTCCTGGTTGTTGCCCAGCGCGTGCCCCTCTCGGCTGTTGATCAACACGGCCGCGCGCAGCGCCGACTTGACAGCAGTCTCCACCCAGCCGTGCGGGTAGGCCGTGTGCTCACCGGCGAAGTAGATGCGGCCGAAGGGGACTGCCCAGTCGTAGTCCTGCCCGTCGTCCCGCCCGTCGTCCCCGTCTTCTTTCCAGAACGTCGGCGGCTGCACCACGAAGCCGCCCTGGCTGTGCGGGTCGTCGGCCCAGCGTTTGACTGTGCCGCTGCCGTCCCAGAGCCGGTACACGACCGGCCCGTGCAGCGCCGCCACGTCGTCGAGCGCCAAGCGCATCGCCTCGTCCTGGCTCAGGCCGGCGAAGGGGGCCGCCGCGTCCGACCACGTGTACGAAGCCAGCAGCAGCGCGCCCTCGCCCGGCGGCGGATAGAAGATCACGCGCGACGGGCGGGCGGTGCTCGAGTGGCCGCCCTCGATGTGCTCGTCGTGCCAGAAGGGCCGGCGGAAGCTCAGGAACACCTTGGTGGCCGGCACGTAGTGCAGCGCGTGCAGCGCCTCCTGCCGCCTGCGCGTCAGCGGCGGCGAGAAGGTAATGCGCTGTAGCGACGGCCCGCTCGCCGTCAGCAGCACCACATCCCCGGTCACGGCCTTCAGACTCCCGGCCCGGCGCGAGCTCCCGATGTGCACGCGCACATCGTGCGTCCCCTGCGTTATCGTCACGACAGGCGCGTGCAGCAACACCGGCCCGGACAGCGAGCTCAGCAGCGCGCGCGGCAGCAGGTCCCAGCCGCCCACGATGCGGCTGTACCTGCGGGCAGGGCGGGAGCGTCATCCGGGAGCTCGGGCACGGCCCGCCCGCGGGGGCTCCTCCCCGCGGGCCCCGCCCTGCGCACTCCGCGGTACCTGTTCCAGTTCACTTGCCGGGTCCCCTCTGATCCTGCCCCTTCTTGCAGGCCCCGCCCACTCCGTTACCGGCCCTCGCTGGCACCTGCTTGCCTTCTCCCCCGCCAGCCCCACCCATTCATCTACCCCCGACCTCGCCAGTCCCTGACATCATCCGGAGGACCAAGGAGCAGAGAATGCGCGACCCGGGAAAACCCCGTCTCTTCTGAGTCACGCCTTTCTCCGGGAACATTCTTACCCAGTTCCTCTGGAGGACCCGGGACAATAAGGCGCGTGTGGCCAGACCCGAGCGGCGCGTCTCCCCGCCCGCTCCGCCCCTTCGCTCACCAGCGCTGCCCGCTCCCTTCCCGCCAGTCCCGCCCCACCCAGGCGCCAACGGCCCCGCCCGCTCCGTTTCTCGCCCCGTATTGGCCTTCTTCGGCCCCGCCCCGTCCACTGGCCCCGCCCCTCACCGGAGCCGGTCACTGAGGCAGCTGTGGGCCCTCAGGGCCTCGGCGAAGCTGAGATAGAAGAAGCCGTCCTTGGACATCACGTCTCCCAGGAGCTGCACGGCCGCCTGGCTCAAGTTCCCCTCCCCGAGGAGGTATTCCTGGGGACGGGTGCGTGCCCAGTCAGGGACCCAGGCAGGCTGCACCTGCCTGCTCTGTCCCCGCTCCCATGAGGGTCCCTCCCAGGCTGAGCCTCCTGCTTCCGTGACATGACCATGAGCTTAATTAGTACGTTCTCTGAGGCCTGGCACCCAGATGAGGGAAGCCAGCCCCGAGAGGGCGGCGGCCGCAGGCCTGGAGTCCGGGATTCCTGCCTTCTGACCCCAGGGCTAAAGCCCCGAGGCTGCCCTCCTTGTTTAGGTTTCTCAGACAGCGACGCCCGGCCCCCACTCACCAGGAGCGTGTGCTTTTCAAACTTCTTCATTGCCTTTCTGCAGCCCAGTGTCTTGAGATCTTTGAGGGCCTGTGGTGGAACACGGGGGCAGCGCTGGGCTCCAGGGGCAGGACTGTAGGGGCCACACGTGGGGTCCAGACCTGAGTTCTCCTCGCGCACCCGCCCATGACCGGCCATTTACCATCCTTGTTCAAGCCGCCGGGTCCTTGCCCATGCTGTGCCCTCGGCCTTGCCCTCCACTCGCTCACTCATCACTCACCTTGCGTCCCCCTAGGCTCCCTGAACTGGTCAGTGCCAGGGCACAGAAATGGCCGGGACTCGGTGCCCACCCTGGCCCAGGAGGGAGACAGTTAGGAACTCCCGGCCCGAGGCCGGCTCCTCCCTGAGGGCACCAGGGTAGGCTTCCTGGAGGAGGGGACACTGGACTTGGGTCTTGAGGGATAAGCAGGGTTCCCCGGGTGGGAAAGGGAAAGGGCCTGCCAGGTGGCGTGGGAAGCCAGAGCAAGGGCATGGGTGCAGGACAGGCTGTTTGGCCACCGGGAAGGTTTTAGGGGGTAACAAACACTTCTTGGAGGGGAGAAGATGAGGTTAGAGGCGTGAGAGAAACCAGACCACTCAGGGCTTAACCCTGAGGCTAAGGTGCTGGGGAGCCATAGGGGGCTGTGAGCAGCGGCTGGAGCAGGGGGAGAAGCCTGAGCCAGGGCAGGCCCCGTGGGAACAGAGGGGTGAGAACACTTCAGGGGAGTCAGGGGGCTGGGGCTGGGGATGGACCGGTGGTGGAAGGCGGGGGGCGGGGGGGCTAGAACAGCACCTGAGGGGCCGTCTGCCCTGTGACTAGGGTGGGGGTGACAGGGCCACTGTGGATGGGGGAGCCCCGGAGTATGAGCAGGGTTAAGGCAAGATGTGAGCTCGCTGGGGAGCCGGAGGGTCCTGGGGTGTGGCCGGGGGAGCAAGGACGAATGTCTGGGTCCCCCAAGATGGATGGGGAAAACATCAGGCTACAGACCAAAGCTTAAGCCAAAGGCCTTTGAGGAATCTGAGGCTGTCCGCGCCGAGGGCAGAGGGCTGTGGGGGACGGGCCGCAGGGCTGCCTACCCGGTTGAGAGCCATCTGGTAGATTTCTTCGGGCGAGTGGCCCTTCTCCTTGGGGCGCAGCTTGTAGCCCAGCTTCTCGGGCATCTTCTCCACCACGTAGTTCCGCAGCTTCAGGCTGTTGACCTCTACCCACGTGTTCTCATCATACTGAGTGAATTTGGTCAGGTTGAGTCCCAGACTCTTGCAGAGCTCGTGGAGGATCCTGAAGGAGCCGGGAGAGGCCGGTGAGGGGCGGGCGGGGGCAGGGGTGGGGGGAGTCGGGGCCCCTCTCCCCAGGGAGGGGGTGGGGGTGGGCCAGAGTCTGCAGTGGGGCTGGAGTCACGGGTGGGGGTGTGACCGGAGCCGGGGCTGGGAGTGAAATGGGAGCGAGGCTGGAAGGCTGAAGGTGTAAGGGCTTCGGTTTGTGTTTGGAGCCGGAGCTGGTTTTCACTGGGGCGAAGTGGGAATGGGACAGAGCTTGGGTTGGGGTGGGGTGGCTTGCGAGGAGGAAGAGACAAGGTTGGGGGAGGCGGAACTGGAGCTTTGGCTGGACATGGAGATCTGAGCACCTCAGGGGCACAGACGTGGGGCTGGGGGAGGCCTTGCCTGGCCAGGCCTCACCTGTGCGAGCTGGGCATCCGCATGGCTCCCAGCTCCCCGATCCAGCCTGTCTTCCGGTCCCGGTAGGTGAGGATGCGGCCTCCAATCCTGTTGTCTGCCTCCAGGATGGTGACCTGAGGGATGGGAGTGGGGAGCACCAAGCTGGGGTGTTCAGCTCCTCCCACCAGCCCCCCCATCCCCACCTGTGCCAGCGCCCAGCTTCCATCCCCACAGCAGCCCAGCCCTAGACTAGGGAAGGACCCCCTTCATGGAGAAGCCAGAGGAGCTGGTGGGAGGACAGATGTCCTAGCAAACACGTACAATATGACAGTTTTCTGCTTACAGCTGGAAGACTGCAAGCCGGATTGCAGAGGGACTTCCCAGATCTGGGAGTGGCGGGGGGGGGGGGAGGGAGCCGGGGGAGGGGGATTTCTTCCATGCACAGAAGTCCTGGCCCAGCCCGTTCTCCTTCTGGGCTTTAAGTGAGGGGGCAGTGGTTAGACCTCAGGCAGTTCTCACTGAGTGGGGTTTCCATGGCCACCAACACAAATTCCCCCCCCCCCCACTGTCCCCGGGAGGTTGGAGGACATTCAGAGGGACTTCCCTCAGGAGTGAGAGACAGTGGGGCAGGGAAATTCAGAGGTTTCTCAGCCTCCCTGCCGGTTGCATCCCCAGATCACGGGGGAGAGCACCGCTCCTCTCCCCACCTCCTACCAACCCCTCAGCGGGGGTGTGGTCCCCACCACCGGGACTCCCAGCCTGCAGCAGGAAAGACTCCAGGTAGACTGCAAGAAGCACTTCTCACCTTGTGTCCGGCATCACTGAGCACCTTGGCAGCTACCAGCCCAGCCACACCAGCACCAACCACAATCACCCTCTGGGGCTTTGAGGTCCGATTGAGGCCCAAGGTCACGACCTTGAGCAGCACCTCATAGTCAGGATCATGCATGCATTTCTCAAAGGGATCCTGGCTATGGGGAGTTTTCCAGTCGAGGGAGGCCACCAGGCTGAAGAAGATGGAGACCAGGACGAGGAGGTTCTGGGCTGGAGGGAGGAGGCGGCGGGGGGGAGGGGGGGTCAGTGGGCAGGTCAGCAGGTATGTGTGGGGAGAAGAGTGGGCTCCGCGCCCCCCCCCAGCCTTGTGCCCCCCTCTCCTGCTTACTTACCCGACGAGGCCATAACTCTCGGTGGGAGATGGTGTCTAGTTTGGAGGGGAAGCAAAGGCCACTGTGACAGGGGCCTGGGTCCCATCCCAGGCCCCAGACCCCTGTGTCTCTGGAGCCTCACGCCTCCACCCACCTAGCAGCTTCCTGTTCTGCGCGCACCTTTCCGCCCCGCCCCCATCCTTGCCCTCCTTGTCTTTCTCTTCTCTGTTCCCCTCTCCTCTGCCCCGTGTCCCTGCCTCCCCGTGTCCACTTCTGTGGGTCCCAGTCTCTCGCCGCCTCCCCTCTACCTTGGGCTCTCCGGGGATAGCGGCACCACCTCTCCCTCCTGTGGCTTCCAGTGGTCTGCCCGGCCCCCTTCTTGGTCCTTAGACAACGAGCTGAGCCCCGCCCTGCCCTCCCTTCGAGAAATCTGCGGTGGGGAAATGAAACTACTTTCCTTGGTTGTAAGGTTGGGCGCTTAGAATATAGTTGAGGCCAGAGGGGGTGGGCGTTGGGGAAAGGGGGTTGAGAGGAAGCAAATCAGTCTATTTTCTTCCGCTTGCCCCAATTAGTTCTGGGGCGTTGGAAGGCCAGAAATAAATGCACAGGTGACCGTGCTAAGGGTGCCTGGTCTCAGGGTCCCCGTGTCTGCTCTCCTCTGTGCTCTCTCTGCCTCCTTCATTCCTGGGGCCAGGGCGGGGGGTGTCTGGCCTTGGGGCTGCATGTCCCTGTGTCTAGTTGTCGCTGTGCCCTGAAGGGCCCTCGCTGGCTCCACTCCCCTCCTACATGGCTCCTCTGAGCCTCAGTCTTCCCCTCCGTGAAATGGACGCAGTAGTGGGATTTGCAGGCAACGGCACGGTGGTCAGAGGCATGGGCTCGGGGCCAGCCTGCCCGGGGCCCGGGCCTGGTGCCTGCCTGTGTGGTTCTGGTCCCCGGCTGTCAAGCAGGGGCTGTGAAGCCGGGTCAGGCTTTGTGCTCTTTAGGGAAGTGCCAGCTGCTGTCACCGTGGGGGTGCTGGCAGGGGTTCAGGGAATGACCCCCCGCTCCCCAGCCCTGCACAAGTCGCAGCCCAGGATGCCTGCTCACCCTTCCCGTCCGTGCACTGAGAACCAGCGTGGCTCTCAGCTCGGGCTAGGGTGCTGGGGGCACCTCGGCAAAAAGGCCCCTGGCCCTTCCTCCTCTCTGCCTTTGGCCTTAGCCTTCCCCCCCTGTCTGAGGGGTGCTTTTTTCCCGAGGGGGCAGGCAGTGAGAACAAGATGACCCGGGCCCAAGGGGCCCCCACTCGTGGCAGCATGGCTTCCTCGGCTTTTGGGGCTTTAGCCAAGGGCACACGTGGTGGGTCCCCTGAAGTGGGTGGAGGTAGAGAGGCAACTTCAGGGGCTTTTCTTGTGGCAGGGGGAGACGACACCCGGGAGCCAGGGGCACATCCTCTCCGGCAACACGATGGGAAAATCCAAACAGTGTATCAAAGAGGGATGTGGTTTGATGGAGGGTGGGGGGCTGGAGGGGGTGTATCTGAGTGAGTCAGAAAACATATGATGCGGGGCCCTGGGAGGAAACAATCAGCCGGACAGAGCCTTGGGCCTTGAGGCTGAATGCCAAGAAAGCAAAGGGCACGGTCAGCAGAAAAGGCAGAGCCGGTCCCCGTGGCGAGCACCCACCGCGGTGTCCGGGGCTCAGTGCTTGGTGCTCTCCGTGGGCCCCACCGCGCTGCTCTTGGCAGAAGAGGAGGCTGACAGATGGAGAGGGGGCAGGCAGAGGGGGGCCCCAGGACTCCCCAAGGCCTCAGCACGGGAAGCCCGTCCCACCACAGACCCTGCCTGCTTCCTTCAAGGCGATCTTCGCTTTGGCCCTCCCCCCAGAGCAGCTGCTGCACATGCGCATCGCAGGTTTCTCATCTAATCCCAGACACCTTGTGTTGCAGGGGGAGCCTGGCCTGCAGAGGGAAAGGCCGTGCCCTGGGTCCCATGGGGCATGACAGAGCCGGGGGTCCGGCAGGCCCCTGCCCAGAGGCCCATCTGTGCTACTTCCTCATGGCAATGTCACGAGTGGGAGTGACATGGATGCAGAAAGGGGTGGAGGTGGCGGAGCTGCGGAATCCCTGCACTGGTCTACGCAAGCTGTGTCGGTCCCCAGAACAGTTTGGAGGGCCCTGCTGGGGTCCGAGTAGACCCCCCCGGCCTCTCCCCCACAGGCTTGCTGTTCAAAGCCCCCTGGCTCTGGGCACACCCTGCATCAACTCCTGGGGTCTGTAAGAAAAGTGGGGTGCTGGGGTGCTTGGGTGGCTCAGTCGGTTGAGCGTCCGACCTCGGCTCAGGTCATGATCTCACAGTTCGTGGGTTCGAGCCCCGCATCTGGCTCTGTGCTGACAGCCAGCTCAGAGCCTGGAGCCTGCTTCGGATTCTGTGTCTCCCTCTCTCTCTGACCCTCCCCTGCTCACGCTGTCTCTCGCTCTCAGAAATAAATAAAACATTAAAAAAATTTTAAAAAATAAGAAAAGTGGGGTGCTGACCTCACCCAAGGGGCTCAGCAGGAACCCAACTCGTGAGGCCCCCCAGGACTGGGAACGGGCAGCGCCTGAGGGAGCAGGGAGCCTACGAGGACCGGGCCTGCCCCATCTTGCTACCTATGAAACGACTACGGGTGCTGTCTAGTGCCGCGTGCCCGATGTGTCTTACTTCACTTACTCCCGGAACAAGTCTGACAAGGTGGGTTTAGCTGTCCCCGTTTTACAGTGGGGAAAACTGAGGCCCAGAGGTCACCAGCTGAGCAGCAGCAGAACCTGGGTGTGATCCCAGCAGAACACGGGTGTGATCCAGGCCCGTGTTCTTCAGCACTTTTTTCCTCAGCAGGGAGCTCAGGCTCATGAACGAGGGAGGGGGCCAGGGCAGGGAGGGGCCTCGGCACTGTTGACATTTGGGGCCATCCTGTGCGTTGTAGGGTGAACAGCCTCACTGGCCTTTACCCTCTAGATGCCAGCAGCACCCGCCCCTCAAGGTGTGACAGAAGACACGGTCTCCAGACATTCTCCCCTGGGGAAGGGCACGCAAAATCGCCCTGGCCAAGAGCCACCGGGCGAGGCTCAGGTTGGTGTTGAGCAGAACTCCCACGGGGCCAGGGCTGGCACCTGCATATAGAACTTTCTCAGAATCAGTTCAAAGACCACGAGGGGTTGGTACTAAAACTTTCCCCGAGTCTCAGAGGAGGGCAGGGCCTCACCCAGGGGATGTCCAGGGCCCCAGGAAGAAGTCAGGGCTCCAGACCTGGATCGGGGAGGGGAGCAGAGAGCGGAGAGCAGACTTACCTGAGGCCCTTGATCTAGGGCCTGACTCCCAGAGAGAGTCCCCCTTCCCACAGAGTCCTCCCGGCCCTCCTTCCCGTTTCCAGAACCCCTGGGTCCCATGGAGGGGGGGCACTCACTGCACAGCTGGCTCTCGGGGGCTCCCTCAGCGCCCATGGCCTTTCTGGTTAGCCTGGGACAGAAGTCATTGTCGGGCATGTGCGGAAACGGGGTGAACGATGGTGGCTTTGTCCTGATTCCTGTTAGACCGAAGGTGCCAGGGTCCTGGTGTGGAGGCAGAACGGTTGGGAGGCTGTGGGGGGCCGGTCCTCCCTTCTCAAAGGCTTCTCATCATGGAAATTTCAAACATAAGTGACAACAGAGAGACCAGGATGCCAAGCCCAAGTGCATCCGCCGCCCTCTTGCCCATCTTGTTTCATTCACACGTTCTTCCCCCTTCGGATTATTTTGCAGCAGATCCCAGACACCTTCTTATTTTGTAGGTAAGTACTTCAGGCTATTTCTCGAAAACAGGGGTCTGGAAACTTTTTCAGTAAATCTTCGGGGCTCTTTTGACAGAGACACCATCTCTGTCTTGCCTACTACTGCCCTCCTGGTAGCCCCACCAGGTATAAAGGCACTGCTCGTGGCTGTGTTCCAATAAAAAGTCATTTACAAAATCAGGAAGTGGAACCGTAGTTTGGCAGCCAACTTCTGCTCTAAAAAATATAAGAACTCATTTGCTTTAAACAAAACAAAACAAGACAAAACTACAGGGGTGCCTGGGTGGCTCAGCCAGTTAAATATCCATCCGACTCTTGGCTTTGGTTCAAGTCACGATGTCACGGTTCACGAGTTTGAGCCTGACATTGGGCGCTGCACGGACAGCATGGACCCTGCTTGGGATTCTCTCCCTCGCTCTCTGCCCCTCCCCAACTTGTGCTCTCTCTCAAACTAAAAAAAACCCAAAAAACAAAAAACTACAATGCCATTATCACACTTTAAAATGGCATTGGGGGGGTGCCTGGGTGGCTTAGTCGGTTAAGCGTCCGACTTTCGCTTAGGCCATGATCTCGCGGTTCGTGGGTTCGAGCCCCGCATCGGGCTCTGTGCTGACTGCCAGCTCAGAGCCTGGAGCCTATTTCAGAGTCTGTGACTCCCTCTCTCTCTGACCCTCCCCTGCTCACGCTGTCTCTCTCTCTCCCCTAGAAATAAATAAAAATATTTTTTAAAAAATGGCATTAGGGGAGCCTGGGTGGCTCAGTCAGTTAAGTGTCCGACCCTTGGTTTCTGCTCAGGTCATGATCTTACAGTTTCACGGGTTCGAGCCCCATGTCAAGCTCTGCTTGGGATTCTCTCTCTCTGCACCCCCCCTCCACTTATGCTGTCTCTCTCTCAAAATACATAAACTTAAAAAATAGATAAAAATGGGATTAAACCAAAGTCCACATTTCCCTGATTGTCTCGAAAATGTAACAGTTGGTTTGAATCAAAATTCAACTAAGGGCCCACTTTACAGGGGAGTGATGTGAGGGTGTTTGTCAATGAGCGAGTTTTACTTCCGGGTCAGTGGATCTGGTGTCTGTGTCCTTAGAAGCAAGGGGTTTAGCGTGACCCCGCAGCCCCACACTAGGCCTGAGCCTGCAGAGGAGCACCCCAGGTCTGGTTTCTGCCACCTGGAAATCTTTGGGGACCACGGGGTTGAACCAGGACGGCGTCTGGATGAGAGGTGCGCGTGTGCACCCAGGCAAGTGGCCGGGGTCTGGCGTGACTGGGGCCAACATGCAAGCGCTTCAGGGCAGGCGCAGGGGCAGTGCGGGCGAGGGAAGCCCAGCTGGGGGCTGGCTGGTGCCTAGAAGTCCCTCTGGCTTCTGAGGCTGAGAGATTTTGTTCCTGGACATTCTGCAGAAAACCGCTGCCCTGAGAGTCCGAGGGCAGGTTTTCCAGGCACCCAGGGAATCTCAAGGCTGAAGGAGAGCCCGTAAGCAGCAGCGTGCAGGGGCTGGCTCACACCAGTGCACGGGAGCAGATGCTCTCACGTTTAGGATCGTTTTCTGGGTTTGGTTTTGCATGCCATTCTTGAAATAAATATTTCTGATCAATCTCATTAAAAGCACATTTAAATACTCAAAGCTTTCCACTCATTTGATTACATTTTTCTATCCTGTATATTTTTTTTTAATTTTTTTTTTTTTTTAATTTCTAGGAGAGAGAGAGAGACAGCGTGAGCAGGGGAGGGTCAGAAAGAGAGGGAGTCACAAACTCTGAAACAGGCTCCAGGCTCTGAGCTGGCAGTCAACACAGAGCCCGACGCGGGGCTCGAGCCCATGAACCGCGAGATCATGACCTAAGCGAAAGTCGGACGCTTAACCGACTAAGCCACCCAGGCGCCCCTCTATCCTGTATATTCTTGAGGTGAATTCATCGCATCTAGATGGCGCATGACAATTTCCCAAATTCCCGCTGAGTGACCTCACATCGGGAACCTGAAAGCAGCGGCGGCAGGAGTATTTGCACCACAGCCATCGGCACCCTTCTCCTCCCCGCCCTGGAGAACCGGCTGCCCCACATTTACCAGCACACCACCGCTTAGGGATCCTTGGCTTCAACCTCCCCTTGGAGACGGAGGGTGCTGCGGGGACACCCGATCCTTCTGATGCCAAGCTGCGCCTGGCAGGAGGAGGCATAATCCTGGAGACGGGGTCGGGCCATAGAGAGGCAGTCATTTGAGAGGGTTTCTTTGAGATTAGCTGAAAGCCACAGCCAGGAATCTAACTGCCACTCTCCGCCCTGTACTGAGAAGCAGCGCAGGAATAGCTTACTGAGAGATTCACCTTTAAAAGCCTCTGACTCCAAATTTAGTCACCACACTGGCTGTCTTCATGCTAATTAATGAAGAGGAACTTAAGCAGAGGCCATTTGTCTGGATTGGCAAAGAGCATCTGTGTTTTCTTCCTGGAAAGGGAAACTGCAATTACAATGAAGCCATCATCTGCAGGATGGCACCCAGTCAGCTGCTGAATCTTGCAATCTTGGGGACACCCCCTGACTCCTCGAGGAAGTCACTTTCCCCGTGGCACCAGAGCACTGTAGCCAGCCCTGCCACACGGCCATCGTCCTAATCTAGAATTGTATTTCAGGGGCGCCTGCGTGGCTCAGCCAATTAAGCATCCGACTTCGGCTCAGCTCATGATCTCACGGTTCGTGAGTTCGAGCCCTGCGTCGGGCTCTGTGCTGACAGTTAGTTCAGAGCCTGGAGCCTGCTTTGGATTCTGTATCTCCTGCTCTCTCTGACCCTCCCCTGCTCATGCTGTCTCTCTCTCAGAAATAAAAACAAAAAACCCCAAAACATTAGAATTGTATTTCAGAGTGGGGTGCCCAAGGTCTTTTGGGGTGTAGGAAGAAAACAGATGAAACTTCAATGTTTTCATTAAAAAAGATATGGCTCTGGGGTGCCTGGGTGGCTCAGTCAGTTAAGTGTCTTAACTTCAGCTAAGGTACTGATCTCACGGTTTGTGAGTTTGAGCCGCATGTCGACCTCTGGACTGACAGCTCAGAGCCTGGGGCCTGCTTCGGAGGCTGTATTGTCTCCCTCTCTCAAAAATAAACATTACAAATTAAACACACACACACACACACACACACACACACAAAATACAGCTCTACGAAAGCAATTTAAGTTTTACTAACATTTAATATGCAAAACAGGCAAATGACACGTATTGGAAATGCAAGCTCAAGGGAAGTTTTAGCACGACTGTCTGGCTGGCCCCTGCCAGCAACCTCCATGGGGGCAGAAACAGTTCCATTTCTGTGACCTCAATGCCAGCCCAGTTATTTCTTAGCAGGTGCTCCAAAAATGGGTGAATGAATAAACATGGGTAAAATATGAACTACTTCCTACTTTCTAGGGGGACTTGAGGCCGCCCCAGCCCTCCTCCCTTCAGGGAGAGGGGTCAGATATGGGTCACCGAGGCTCTGATTGTGGAGGCCAACTTGCAGGAGGGTGGCGGGGCGCTTTTAGAGAGAATCAAGTGGTTTGTCTCAGCGCTCCCTCCTCCCTCTTCTGTGGCTTTTGCAGGACACTTGTTCTGGAAGCCAAAGATGGTGAAATGAATGACTTATGGTCATGACTTTGAGCAACTGGACCACAGGTCTCCAGGGATAAGCTTTGGGCATTCCTTAGCAAAAGCCTGGCTTTGCGAGGCAGAGGCTGGAGGGACAGACTCCACCCTGCAGCAGCAGAGCTGGGGACAGAGGCAGAATGCCCGGCCAGCATCTGGAAATGACCCGATACAAACCCGCATCCAGCTCTACCTGCTTCCCATCTCTGAAGCACAATGAGCACCCTCCCGCCAGCCCCAGGGAGTGGACAGAACGCTGCCCACGGCACCTGCTGCTGCGGAGCCGCCGCCTTAGGGACGATGGCAAAGGACTTGACACTTATGCGTATCTAAGACATCATCTAGACCACCACCTGCACACACTCTCCCGTGTGATTCTCCTCTGCCGTCGGCACCAGAGGAACTTACGCCTTGCATTTCGGCACAGATGCGTGCCTCAGCGTGTCGTCTAGCTCTGCTGGTTTCTGAGACCAACGGCACCCCACTTCAGTCTTCTGGAAACTGCTCCTTCTACCCAGTCTTCTAAGTTACATCAATGACATCTTTTTTGTTCCACAACAAATTTTATTTAGGAAAGCAACATAGTCATAGGTGTTTCAGGCAGTGCAGCGAAGTGTAAAGACAAATACAGAGGACACATGGGATACAACTGGTCGGCTTCTGTTTTTCTGGACACTGGATCTCACTGTAACTAGCTAGGTTTGCTTTAGCATCGGTCAAGTTCAGAACCAAGTCTGTGGCCACCTCTGGCACCTTGTGGACATTTCAGCAGGCGTTTGGTGGATGAAGATTTTATGCCATTTTCCGTGGTTCACTGATTCGAAAATGTGAGGCATGGTGCTAAGGTCACAAAAGGGAACGAGAAACACTCCTTGCCCACAGGGGCTCACATTCTAATGGACCACAGGACAGCCATCCGACCCAGCTCTGGGGTGGCCGAGAGGGCTTCCTGGAGGAGGTGAGCCTAAAATAAGGAGACCTGGACGATCAGGAGGCTTGTCAGCCAGGCAAAGTGAAGACCTCCTGGCTCGAATCTGACCCTTTTCTTGACACTTAAGTCCCTCATCTGACCTGTCCTTCCTCCTTTGAAATTTCATATCCCACGGTCGGTTCTATTCACAAATCCCTTCTTTGTACTGGTGGTGAATCTCCACATGCACACACCTTATACCACGATGCTGTCTCAAGGACGGAGACTTTTCACTGCACCTATGACTCTGTGTTGGACACATGGCCACTCAGCAGACCCTGCCTGGGAGATGGTGTTCGGGCGAACCAACACTGCTCCAGCACCTGGCTGGAGCAAGGAGGGGGAGGGTGCCCGCCGTAGGTGACAGGGGTCTGGGATACGCCAAAGACACATAAAAGAAACCACACCCCCTAGGCAGCTGTCTGGACCAGGGTGCTTTGAATACTTCTCTTCTTACTAATGCAAAACATCAAGCCAGAGAACTGTTCTCAGCAGCACAGTCCTTTGAAAGACAGGAACAACCAAGTATTCTTTGCAACCAAACGCCAGGTGATAATTGTGCAACCCTCAGAGCCCCCAGCGCCCTCGGAACCCACGGGCCCGGAAGCCGGCCGGCAGCTCAGTCGAACGTGATCCGGAAGCTGCGCTCCTGCTCTTTGCGGCGCCCCTCGCACACCTTGGTCACCTCCTCCACCTTCCTCTGCAGCAGGGCCGAGTTCTGGTCGATCCACTGCAGCGAGTCCATGTGCGCATTGAGGATCTTGCAGATCTGCTGCAGGGGGTCGCTGGTGTCGGCGGGACCCCCGGACGTGTTCAGGTGCTCGATGATGTCCTTGAGGTCCTGGGCCATGCGCTTCAGCTGTGCGTCGATGTTCTCAGCGAGCTTGTAGGTCTTCTCGCGCTCCTCGTCGGCGTGCTGCAGGTAGACGGTCCCGCTCTGCTCCTTGACCGACTCCTCCAGCGGGCTCAGCAGGTCTTCCAGCTCCTTCTGCTGAGACAGGATGAAGTCGAGCTCTTGGTCCAGCCTCTTCTGGTCCAGCTTCACTTTCTCCACCTCACGGTGGAGGGTAGTGATCTTCTCCCCGTTCTCGATGAGCGTGCGGTCCCAGGCGTTGACCTGTGTGGCCTGCTGCAGGAAGTGCCGCTCCTGGTCCTCCAGCTCCAGGCTCCACTTGTTGATCAGACTCTCCAGCTGGGCGTAGGTCATCACAGGACTGGCGGCTGCCCCGGTGGTGGTGCTACAGCCAGGGGGCCCGGTCGCGGCCGCTGGTGCGTTGCTGGCGATCCCGGCCGGCGCCAGTGGCTTCAGATTCAAGGCAAAGCCGGTAGTGGTGGTGGTAGCTGCGGTGGTGGCGGCCGTGGTGGTGGTGGCAGTGGCAGTGGATGTTGTCGTGGAGGAGGTAGAGGCTGCCCCAGGGGCCTTTAAGCTGAAGCCCAGCGTCCCGGCCCCGGTAGCCGCGGCCGTGGTTGACGGGGTACAAAGGGAAAGGCCGGTGGCGGTGGAGGAGGCTGGGGTGGTTGCCAGGGAGGCGAACAGCGTGGGCCCAGCGCTGGTGGTGGCAGCAGCAGGCGCAGGAGCGGCTGGCTGTGTGGCTCCTGCTCCCGTGGACGCAGGGGTGGCAGGAGTGAAGGGCAGTCCGCCAAGTGCCGTGGGCGGGGCCAAGCTCCCCATCGAGCCGATGCTGAAACCGGAGGCCCCGGAGGCCCCGCTCTGGGTCGTGCTCCCGCCTGTGAACGAGAAGCCCCCCGGCGTGGTGGACGGAGCAGCAGAGGTGGTGGTAGAGCCGAACACAAAGCCGGTGGTGGGCGCTGTGCTCTGGCCGGAGGTGACAGTGCTCGAGATGGCGCTGGTGAGGGTGCTGCCGCCGAGACCGAAGCCGCCGGGGTGAGCGGTGGCTGGCGTGGCAGCCGCACTGCTCAGGTTTAGCTTCGGGGTGCTGATCCCCAAGGAGAACCCCGTTCCTCCCGTAGCAGAAGTTGTGGTTCCAAAACTGAATCCTGGGGTCTGTGTCGCCGGAGCTTGGGTGGTGAGCGAGAACAGGCCAGTAGAAGGGGTGCTGGCAGCCGGCTGGGAGGGAGTCCCAAAATTAAACCCGCCAGTGGCAGCTGTAGAGAAAGAGAAGCCGGTAGCAGACGTGGTCGTTGCCGTCTTTGCAGTGCCGAACGTGAACCCGCCTGTGGGGGCCCCCGTGCCTCCAAAATTAAACGCGCTCATGGCTCCAGACTCTGGTGGCAGCAGCTACTCTGGCTCCCAAAGCAAATCCGCCGGTGTCTGCAACCTTGGGAAGATTTTCAAAGTACAGTAAGTCACATGATCAGATGGCAGTTTGAGAAAGGCAACCTCAATGGCGTGACGGAGCATCTGGAGGGTGGCGGGACTCGGGATAATTAGAATACGAGCTCACCACCCTGCCCCCTGCTCCCGCCTGGACAGGCCCAGTTAAACTAGCAAAGAAAGACTCGGAAGCAGAAGGCCGTGCCCTGGGGCTCGGGTGCACGAGCAGGCGTACTTGCTGCCATAGAAGAGAAGGCTGAGAGCAGGCACCTGAGTGACCTCAGCCCCCGAGGAGGTCAGAGTCAAGGGGCTTCTGGCGAGGGGCGCGGAAGCACATGAAGTAACACCTGGAGGACCGGCTCCCCAGGTTTCCATGCCGACCACAGGAGGGAGGTGGTGGGCTGGGCTGGCCGAGTGCCAGGCCGAATGTTCTTCTGGACTCACAGAAAGGCCCCAGAAAGCCAAGCCGTACGGCAGAGCCTGCAGTGCCCAAGGCCCCAGCTGTGCACATCCCTGACCCGTTAGGAAGACGGAGGGCGTGTTGGCGCGTCCCCCTGCCCTCCTTCTAACTCTGGGGCGGCCAGGAGACCCGTCAGCTCACTCAGACCTCCCCTGGGGCTTCTCTCCAGGCACTCAGTAGGCGGCCCCCACCTGCAGGTGCAGGGCACAGAGGAGGTGCACGTGGGGCACCCGCCTCCTTTCCAGCCATGTGTAGCTGAGCTGCCGCCAGAGCGAGTGACAGTGGGGAGAGGGAAGAAGTGATCATGTGCCCAGAGGACCACCACATGCTCACAGGCCCCACCCCGTCTTCCTTAGACGCTCCAGGAGCCAGCACAACCCTGGTGAGTCCATACCAACTAGATTTCTAGAATTTCTGACTGCCATCTGTCAGCCGGAGCAGGGGCTGGTCACAGACGCTCACTCTCACTCATACACGGAGACAGGGATTCTGCCCTCGCGTCTGACATGAGGGAAATGGGGCTCAGAGGGTTGCGGTGACCGGCCAGGAGCTGACCGCAGGCCTCGGGCCTGCTGACTGCTGTGGGCCCCGCACGGGGTACTGGACGACAGGGCACTCCCCCGCACCCAGTGCGGGGATCGAGTAAGTTTTCGGTGTAAGGGAAAAGTTGTGTTACGCCCACTGACAGACTAACGACACACAAGAAATGTAGGAGGTGCCACAAAGGGACCAGGGCAAAAGGGGCTAAATGGCTGACGGGCATGAAGGAGGGCCCTTGTTAGGATGAGTACCGGGTGTTACACGTAAGTGATGACTCACCGAATTCTACTCCTGAAACCAATGTTACACCATAGGTTAACTAAACTGGAATTTAGATTAAAAATTTGAGGGGCGCCTGGGTGGCTCAGTCTGTTGAGTGTCCACCTTCGGCTCAGGTCACGATCTCACGGCTCCTAAGTCGAAGCCCCACATGAGGCTCTGTGCTGATTGCTCAGAGCCTGAAGCCTGCTTTGGATTCTGTGTCTTTCTCTCTCTCAAAATAAACAACATCAAAAAAAATTTTTTAAATAAAAATTTGGAAAAAATTTAAAAAAAAAGGAGTTTGGGAAAAAGACATACTGATGTGGGCGTGGCCCATCTCAGGCAGTGGGACTACACTGGATCATTTCCCTTCTACTTTGCAGCAGCTTCCAGACATTTGTTCTGTCCGCACAATGGAGGAACATAATCTATAAGCCTGCTGTTTCAAAGAGGCTCAAATTGTAGGGTGAGGATTCAGTGTGAGGAACCAGTGAACTTGCGCAGCCAGGTTTTAAAATCACAACCTGAGTAGGGGAGATAGAATTACTGAATTAAATAAGCCTTCCCTAGGCTGGCCCTGCCTCAAAGGTGACTGGGGTGGGGCCAGACCAGCCAGCGCTGAAGGTGGTGGGAGCCCTAGACAGTTTCCAGGGGAGTCAGTTTGGGAAGTCCTATCAACCATGTGTCCCCCTGAAGATGCCCACACCCTAATCCCTTGAGTCCGGGAAAATGCTGCCGTGTTCGGCAAAAGGAACTTTCAGATGTGATGTGATGCAGAGATTATTCCTAGAGCAGATGATGGGCCCTGAAGGTCACCCCAGTACCCTTCTACAGTGGAGGCAGAGGGAGAAGGCTATGGAAGACAGAGGAAGTGGCCCGAGCTGGGGAACATACAGGCCTCTGGAAGCCGGGAAAAGCCAGGTGACAGTTCTCCTCAGAAGCTCCCAAAGGAAGCAGCCCTGCTGACACCCTGATTTGAGCCCTTGTGAGACTGAATTCGGACTTCCGATCTCTTGAACTCTAAGAAAATAAATCTGTGTCACTTTAAGCCATGAAGCTGCTGCTGTCTGTGGGAGCAGCCAGGGGGGAAGAACACAGTTGGAAAGGAGAAAATATCTGAGACAGACAGGAGGTGGGACCTGGTGGCTCCCTAGAGTTCCGGCTTCAAACAAGGGATAGCAAACCTCTCTGAGACTCAGTTCCCTCATCAGTAAAGTAGGGGCAGGGGGCGACTGGGTAGCTCAGTCAGTTGAGCATCCGGCTTCAGCTCAGGTCATGATCTTGCAGTTTGTGGGTTCGAGCCCCACATTGGGCTCTGTGCTGACAGCTCAGAGCCTGGAGCCTACTTCAGATTCTGTGTCTCCCTCGGGGCGCCTGGGTGGCTCAGTCGGTTGAGCATCCAACTTCGGCTCAGGTCATGATCTCACGGTTCGGGGGTTTAAGCCCCGCATCAGGCTCTGTGCTGACAACTCAGAGCCTGGAACTTGTTTCAGATTCTGTGTCTCCCTCTCTCTCAGAAATAAATTAAAAACAAAACAAAAAAACCCCCAAACAGATTCTGTGTCTCCCTCTCTCTCTACCCCTCCCTTGCTCAGGCTCTGTCTCAAAAATAAATAAACTATAAAAAAGTAAATAAATAAATAAAGTGGGGTGGTAGCTCCTGGGCTGAAGCGAGGCCAGCATTGGTGGGATGCGAGCGAGGGTACTTGGTGTCACTATTGCCATGCGCAGGCGTACGCTGGAAGTTTACTTTGGGGACAGCCTCTGGAGGCTGGTAAGGAAAAAAGAGAAGGAGCCCAGGAGGGGCTGCGAACACCCAGCTGCAAAGAAGTTCTCCTGAAGGAAACGCGGGGGTTGTGGCTGACCTCAAGTTTAACAGGAATTCACGGCTGGCTGCCACGAGATGTAGGCCCCGGGGGGATTTCCAGGCACTGCTGTGCCCAGACCGAGCTACTTATACGCTCCCTCGCCAGACCCTCAGCTAACTTCACAACCAGCCTAAAGGGAGGTCAGGACGATCGTACCCCGGCACAGATGGAAAAAGAGAGGCTCAGATGGAAATAACTTGTAAATTCATGGATGGGATAATGGATATTGACAAGATATCCCATCCATGGTGGGCCCTGAACCCTGGCCTCGGGCTGTAAAGCGCTCTTCGGTTCTACCCCGTCAAACAGGCGCACCTGGTCACAGGCCAAGCAGCCCTGCTCTGGGGCACAACCGCTATTGTGCACCCCAGACTCCGTCCAACAATGCGCTTATTTTCCCTTCATCTCAAACAGCAGACATAGTTCAGCGGCAAGACGGCTTCCTGTCCTCAGCCACGAGGCTGGGTCTCCTGACAGAAAGACCTGGGTTTGCACTATGCTTCTGCTACTAGCCATGCCCAATCCCCCCTGCCGTGAAGAACAAGGTCACAACTAAGAAGCCAAGTACCAGGCTGGAGAAGGCATCCACAAATCCGGTTTCCTTACCCCTCCCTCTTCAGGACCAGTTTTACGTCTGCAAGTGTCCTTAGGGATCCTCTCGGGCCGGGGTTGCCCGGGTCTGCGGGAACCTGCGGTGGCTGCCTCTCCCCAACATCCACCGCACCCTCTGCCTTCCTGGCAGTGCCTGGCATTCCGGTCTCCTCTTTCGCACAGACACGCGCCTCTAGGGAGATGACCTCGGGGCCGCCTGGTCTAAGTCGCGGACCTTGGCTGGCTGCCCATCAGCACCTCTGGGGACAGGCTCTCGGGGGCAGCGCCTGTGCTGTGCCATTTTTATAAAGCTCTTCCAGGAAGGGTTCCCAGGAAAGGTCCCTTTCCTGCCGCCACAGCAATACCTAACCCCCCCACCCCCGCTAGACCCCTTCTTCACAAGAGCACACCTCCTCACTCAAGTGTCACGTCAATCCAGGTTCATTCAAGGTTACTGGCGGTCAAGAGCATCCCAACGGCTACCACCTACGTGTCTCAGTTCTCAAGACCTGAGCCCCACAGGGCTTCTATGAATAAGCTGCAGCTAAATTTTTCCACCAGAGTGTTTATAAAAAGCTCTCTGCAGCTATTAAAAAACTAAAAGAAGAGGGGCACCTGGGTGGCTTAGTCGGCTAAGCCTCCGACTTTCGCTTAGGTCATGATCTCACGGTTCGTGGGTTCGAGCCCCGCGTCGGGCTCTGTGCTGACTGCCAGCTCAGAGCCTGGAGCCTGTTTCGGTCTGTGACTTCCTCTCTCTCTGACCCTCCCCTGCTCACGCTGTCTCTCTCTCTCTCTCCTAGAAATAAATAAAACATTAAAAAAAAAAAAAAAAAAAAAAACTAAAAGAAGAACAATTTTCTGTGGGGGATTTTGTGGCTTCACGGGTCACCATTTATTAGATGCTGCACGTGTTTCTGATACTCCAGGTGCCAGGGATCTCCTGCCAGTGGCAGACACCCTGGCTCAGCCCCATGCTGTGCGCTTGATGTACTCTTGCTCACTTGCTCCTGAAAGCGGGTCCCTTTCCTAAGCCAGAAGAGTGAGGGCCAGAGAGGTACTTAAGCCATGGCCCTCACCCTTGAGGTAGCCAGAGACATTACAAGCGTGAACTTCAGTACCAGGGCACCAGGTGGGGACAGGACAGGCCACATGTTGTAGGAGCAAGGCCCTTATGCTGCCCCGGGTTCCAGGAAGCACTTTCCTGGAGCTGAGTGTGGAGGTGAGATGTGAGATCAGCCAGGGTCACGGGGCAGGAGTGGGGAAGGGCCTGGTTGCGGGCGGGGA